TTTTTTTCTCATTTTCTTTTAAGCACATATATGTCATTATCATTCATAGTCATCATTCAAAGATCAATTTCTTTGGTTCACATCAAAATGCCCCTGGCCTAGAAGGTGTTTTCTTCTTCTTTTTAGAATTTTAATGGTAAACAGACTTTCCCTGGCATGGCGAGCCTGCAGTGAGCCCTCATCGACAGGCAGACATCACCCTCTTGCTGACCCTGCAGTTCATGCAGCTGTTCCCAGGGAAAAGTCGAAAAGTCCCATCTGCTCTTGAGTGACTGGCCACGAGATACCCTGAGCCTGGGGCCTGTGTCAGTCCTGGGCACTCTGCCACAATCAGGGTGTGGGCAAATGGAAGGCACCAGGAACTGCAAAGTGGGAAGAGAGCAAATGAGTGCTGGAGAGCTAGGTGTGGAAGCCTGTGGTCCCAGTGGAACTGAACATCTGAGGCTGGAGGCAAATCCAAAGAGGGAGCTCATACTTTGAGTGCTTGTTTGGGGTTCTAGCAGGAGAGCGCAGCTGCTTGTGCACCCTTGACTGAAGACTGGTCCTCCTCTACTGGGGAAGATCACCTGGGAAGGCCGTCCTCCTTGACAGAGCACGGAGCTTCAGGAGGGATGCGCCTAGAGCAGTGAGGGAGGGAGGGGAAAGCAACTGATCCAGCCAGATCAGCCGCTGAATCAACCCTGGTGGTCAGCGGGGTGACAGATGTCACACTGAGATCACCCTCACATCTGGGAGCTCATACTTTGACCCAAACTGCATGCCTACCAGGAGGGGGATGTCTGAGTAGTCAGGCAAGGTGAAGCTTGGGGTGAGTAGGTATCGAAGATCAAAGATAGGCAATGAGTTAAAGGTCCAGGTCTTTAAAAACAGGGAAGGGGAACCAGGCAAAGAAAGAGGGGACAGGTGCAGGCCCCATGCCAAAGAGCGACCAAGATAGAGGCTTCCTGTAGACTTAACTCCAGGGCAAGACCTAGTCTGGGAGTCGAGCCCGGGCTCCTGAACAAAGAGCACAGAACAAGGCTATTCCTTCTATCACAGTGGGGAAAACCATACAGTTTTTATGTTAGAAAAGCTCAGGTCAACATGACTCAGGTCAGACACAAGAATACTCAGTGGGCTGCTTTGTGAGGACTCTTCTCCCCAAGGAGATTCCAGGCCTCTTCGGGGCAATGCATCTGTCTCTGTCTCTCTCTTCTCTTAAACGTCCTTAAGCCCGGTGCCCTGACACACCATAGATAGTCAAAAACATTTGTCGAATGAATAAATGAATGGATTCTCAAGAGATATTGATTGGCTAAAAACAGCAGTTTTTAGATCTTAGACTCATTAGCTTACCTTATGTCTTGCTGTGGCATATGACAAGTTAAACTGACCCTGATCACCCCGGAATAGATGCAAACAGTGACTGTCCTCCCACCCAGGCAGAGGTCACTTCCGTGCCTTTCCCCATTGGGCAGGAGACTTCCCATTCACTTTCAGGGCCTGAAAATTCCCAGGGACACTCTTCCTAGGTGAGGCTTGTGAACTATCACTTGCATTTTGGAAAAGTAATTATCTTCCCAGGATGATGTCAAGGAGAGCAAGAATTCACCACCAATATTTAAAATCAAGTCATACGTATCCCCAGAGGCAGCTGGAGGATTCAGAAATAGGATGGGCGCCTTCCTGACCACCAGATTGGCAAGACTACAAGTAAGGTCTCAGCTAAGTATAAAATGCCCGGAGCAAACTGGAGGTGAAAGAGGGGCGGCTGGCCTGGCGGGGGCAGTATAATGGGCAGCCCCTCCTTGGGCTCATTATCCCCACCTGCTCCTGTCTGCTCAGATTAGAATCCCAGTGTGAGTTTAGAGAAAGTCAGCTGGAGCTCGTCTTCCATGTAATTCAGGTCGTGTTGCCTGCAGCTCTTAGGTACTTAAATAAACAGAAGCACTAATATTGCTATTGAAAATGTAATTAAGGGCATTCATTGTAAAGTAATAATGAATTACCTCACCCTCACCATATGGCCAGAACTGATTAACACCTAGAAAAAAATGATCTGAAACCTCTAAAATCAGAATTAATGTTTCAGATCATAACGAGAAACATTTTTTTGGAGATGGAAATAAAAAGTAGTTGAGAATTTACTAAACCAAGAGGCACAAATAAAATATTGAGGATGACATCCCCCAAAAATCTCATTTTAGATGAGGTGAGATGTTTTTGGTACAGAACCATATCACAAATACAAAAATGTTACAAGATTAGCAAATTGGAACTGTCATTAAATTGGATGATTTTTTTTCTGTATTGTTTCTCCTATAATTACGAAGAATTAATGGAAGAGTCTCCATCTAGGCAGGCAGTTTCATAAATCACCGGGGATGGCCTTAGCATATCGATTGAAAATCTTTTTTCGTAAATTACTAATTGAAATGCTGTTTGTCCTCAGGAAGATCATGCAGTGTGATTTAATCCCTTAGGATTAGTTAAAACGCTAGAAATGTTAGAATTTCTGGATAGTGCCCAACACGTTAGCATTGCGAAAGATACCTAGAAGGCTGCAGACCCATTTGGAAGACAGGGTTGCTATTAAGGTAGTTTGCAGGGGCACCCTGGGGACTTAGGGGTTACCTAGGGCTGGTCCTGGTACTTGATTAGCATATGTGCCATAGTGCCACTCGAGGAAACATAAAGGAGCAGAATGTGGGATATTTGCCCACCAGAATCCCTTAGATTATTTTGTGTACTGCTTGGGGAAAGTTTAATGGGCTCAACACCACTCTTGAGGGAAAGTGAGGGGGAATCTTTTTTTTTCTGGAAATATTTCCTGGGATGGCAGGATCATGATTACCTGCAACAGAGCTGGGGGAGCTGGTAGGGCAGGTGTTCCAAGAACTGGGCCTGGAAGCTTGAACCTGTAGCCATAAACTCAGGCCCTAGTTTTGCCTTTTTGTGTCTCTGCCTTTGGCCACTAGAGAATATGGACAAAACTCAGAGTGTTATTTCCTCAACTGCTTCTAAAAAGGCTACAGCTCTAAGTTAGGGACACTTAACATTTTGGTCCAGAGCAGTGGACCCAGATGAGAGTAAATCAGAGAGTTCCCAGGTGGAAGAAGTCAGTCCTACACAAAGAATCCACCGGATTTGGGCTGAGGAGTGAGATAGCTGGTCACTCTGGGGTGAACAGAGCAAAGTGTATAAGCCTAATGGTTGTTTTAGTAACGCAAGTAGGAATTGGGGAATATCGTGCGTTTCAGTGATTCATACATTGGCAGTGATAGCTCCTCTTGTCAGAGCTGAGAGGGGGGCTGAGAAGATGACCCCTTGGGGAAAGATAACAAACTGCCTCTAGAAGAGATCTGGATTTGTCTTCCGCTGCTGAATCTGAGCTCAGGGAGTCGGTGCCCCTCGCTCTC